GCTTTCCGGGTCCACTGGTGGAACCTCTTCTAACCGGTTCAGTAGATTTGACGAACCGGTTCTACCGAACAGGTGCGAACTGGTAGGAACCCACCACTGCGTTCCGAGGTGGGTAAAATGGGGACCCAAAATTGTTGGGGGGCAATATGCTGACTCTGTAAACAGCTTAGACAGGGCTGTAAAGCGGTATACAAGTCTAAGTGCTGTTGCTATTGTCATTGTGGAAGTCCACAGAAAGAGGAAGTTTCCATCTTTTTCTAACTCCACCCAGCTTTTTACAACTGTTTGCTGCAAGAATATACCTGTATGCCAAAGGTGCCCAAGACAATGCTGCAGAAGATGGGGTTGCCAAAAATGCCATCAAAGACATTGTGCTCTCCGTGGATTTTGCGGGCATTGATCTCATTGAACAGCTGCATCATGACAAAGGTGTTAAAGATGATGGTGTAATGCTCCGAGGGCGGAGAATGCAGGGGAGCGTTGCGGCCAGAGTCGATGTCAAATATAACCTCTCCTGCGGGGGTAAGGAAAGGGGGTAAAGCAAATGCGTCATGGACCGAGAACGCCAGTTCCAACCAGCCAAATTCATCCCTCCACCGAAGTTCCAGTTTGGTGTTGTACTGAATGGACGAGTAAGCCCCCACCTCAGATTCACTCTTGCTGCTTACCTATCAGCCCCTCATGACAGATGACAAGCTGCCAGCCCAGACATTCAAATCAACATGTTGGGATTGGAATCCTAGATCTTCTTGAGAGATGCAAGACTTCTTGTTAGGAGGGATCTTACTTTAGCATGTAAAAAAATAAATAAGGGCTTCTCCCTCAACCCCTCCCTTTCCAGGGGGAAGAGCTTTGGTTCTCTTGGAAACGGCAGGCAGTACTCCAGGACGAAAGGAATACATAGACGTGTGTTGTTACGGTGAGTGGGAGAGAAGGAACTAAGATTCGCCTCCAGTTCTGATTAGAGTGGAATTTCCAGTTTACAGCTGAATCTAAAGGAATTTGATTCAAGCCCAGTCTATTCTTTAGAGCAGGAGTGTCAAATGCAAGGCCTACACGCCGGATCCGGCCCTCCGGTTGCTTAGATCTGGCCCGCGGGGCTGCCCTGGAAACAGCAAAGAGCCGGCCTGTGGTGCCTCTGCCAGCGGAAACCAAGCTCGGGAGCCTGTTTTCATTGGCAGAGTGCTCCGGCCACCACAGGTGCTCCTGACATGAGTGATGTCAAGCTGGCCATGCTCCCCCCCCCCCGAGGTAAAACACAACCCCGATGCAGCCCTCAATGAAATCAAGTTTGACCCCCCAGCTTTAGAGTAATGGGGAAAAGGTTAGCTAAGAATTCTGCTAAATTCATCGTAAGTTCATCTTCATCATTTCCGGTATCTGTTGTTTCTATACAAGCTCAGTCACATGGAGCTTTGAAACTTGGAACTTCTCAATAAGGGTGGAGATAGCACCTATGCATGGGTTGACATGGTCCGTGCTCTGATTGGACCGAGTCCGATTACTAATTAATTAACCACTATATAACCCCCCTCCATTAGTGGTACCGCCCAGTTTTCCAACTCAGTCCA